CTGTCATTTTGGAAAGAAGACTATTATTAATGATACTCATGCAGTTATAAAAGATAAAGAATGTATTGCAAAGGGTTTTGAGGAAAGTAAATGAAAAAGAATCGTTCGTGTTATATTCAAGAAATATCTGCTGATAAATAAAATATGGGAGCACACCTGACCGGAGACAGAAGTGTTATTATAATACATCTGATACCTCTACTTCAATTAGGTTAAATATCACATAATCTCTATCTATTACTGTTGACAAGGTAATTACTCTGTTGTGTAATAGAATGTTATAATATATTTATGTTTTGCTTTTCATAACGACCATCATCACCACGAGAAGTGGTTTCACAGATAGAATCAACTTGATAAAGAGGATGAAAAATATATAATAGATATCATGATTTTCCAGCCTGTTCAAAAAATGTCAAGTAACCGTATTCTTACAGTTCACAATGTCCCGTTAACTTATACTTTCTGTTCATAAAGTCATGTTAATTCATTCTAATTGTTCACAAAGTAACGTAAACTCATACTAGATGTTAACAATATCAAATTAACTCAAACTCACGGTTCACAATATCAAGATAACTCAAACTAACTGTTCACAATGTCACGTTAACGGATACTAACTGTTCACAAAGTCACGTTAGCTTCAACTGACTGTTTACAATATCAAACTAACTCAAACTCACGGTTCACAATATCAAGATAACTCAAACTAACTGTTCATAATGTCACGTTAACTCATACTAACTGTTCATAATGACAAGTTAACGCATACTAACTGTTTACAACGCACAATGTCATGTTAACTTATCTTAACTGTTCATGAGGTCACGTTTACTCTTATTAAAGTACTACAAATAATACAAGTGATTAAAGTGTCCACAAGGTCATAATAACTCATACTAAATGTTAATAAGTTCACGTTAATTATTGTTATAACAATTTTCAACGATTTTAACATTTTATTCTTAACGTCAAGCAAATAATCTGATAAATACTTCTCATAAACGAACTATCCATTGAACACTATTCATAAACAAAATATCCATTGAACACTAATCATAATCGAAATATCCATTGAACACTATTCATAAACGAAACATCCATTGAACACTAATCATAAACGAAACATCCATTGAACACTATTCATAAACGAAACATCCATTGAAGACTATTCATAAACGAAACATCCATTGAACACTATTCATAAACAAAATATCCATTGAACACTATTCATAAACAAAGTATTTATTACATTATTATTTCTTAAACACGTATCCTTAACCAATATTTTCTTTTAAACATTTTTAAATGTAAAGTATCCTTTAAATACCTTATATACAGTATTTATTGACGAATTTTCATAAACAAAGTAACCGTTAAACACTTATCATGACACAAACTACCAGAAAACTATGTATCATGATAACCTAGAAAAGAAATTCTTCTCCATGTACGAAGCCAACGTTACTTTATATATTGAACGTTAGAAACCATTCCTATTTACGTAACCAAAGTAACTAATGTTTAACTTATAAATCATTCCTATTTGCTTCATCGAAGTACTGTTTATCTTAGAAATTATATATAATTAAGTGAATGAAATAACTTATATTTAACTTTGATTCATATCTACTAAGGTTATTTAAGTCGAAAATGTTGAGTCGTACAGGTTATCATTTGATACCCGATAGGCAAACATGCCAAGAGAAATGTATGTAAAAATTTACCAAATGGACTCTTTATCAAATTTACATGATTTATGTAAATTTCATCCGATTACTATAGAACCTATTATCAAATCACTCGGGAAAGTTTTCAAAAATATAAAAATATTCAAAATCAATGAAAACGTTATTTGAAAGTTTAATTCAAGTATTAAAATTTGAAAAATATCTGTACAAAAAAATGCCTCCCAAATCATGCATATTATTTTGAACAATTCCTTTTAAAATTGTGTTCAATACTTTATTGTAAATTTATCTTATATGGTTATTTGGCTGCAATATGACAATGACAACAAGCAACGTACCTAAATAAAGGCAATAATGGTTACCGGTATATATGTATTGACAAATATTATCTCCGGGTTTTTTTTATAATGATAAAAGAATAAATAAATTTCTTATTTTCTGACAAGGATTTTTACATTCCAACTCAAAATCATATAGCATGTTCGCATAATTTCCTCAATATACTGTTACCTATCAAAAGTTAGCATAGCTTAAGATTAAATATTACTGGAAATACCATGCTATTAAAATAGATGAAGTACTTATTCGTTAGTATCTTACATAACGATAGAATAACCTCTTCATTACATAGTAATAGAGTTAAAATTATTCTAAATAATGAAACAGGAATTATTGTTTTACGGCAATATACACCAACACTGAGCTTATATATAACAATGGGCAAACACTTACCTTATCTGTTGATAGACATACAGGTAGCACATGGTAGACTCAATATTATCTTAAGTAAAATATACCAACTTATTGCCTCATATACACCGAAGTCGAACTTTCACCTTACAGAATAAAAAATATCAACACTTACCTTATAGATAATGATCAAAACATTTCTTATGATAAACCTATCTTACGTTATAAATAAGGCTAGAACAACACTTACCTTATAAATAAGGATATACCAACACTTACGTTATAACTAAGGATATACCAACAATTTACCTTATAAATAAGGATAGACCAACACTTTACCTTATAAATAAGGATAGAGCAACACTTACCTTATAAATAAGGATAGACCAACACCTTACCCTATAAATAAGGATAGACCAACACTTACCTTTTAAATAAGGATAGACCAACACTTACGTTATAAATATGGATAGACCAACACTTACCTTATAAATAAGGATGGACCAACACTTACGTTATAAATAAGGATAGACCAACACTTACCTTATAAAGAAGGATAGACCAACACTTTACCCTATAAATAAGGATAGGCCAACACTTACCTTATAAATAAGGATAGACCAACCCTTTACCCTATAAATAAGGATAGACCAACACTTACCTTATACATAAGGATAGACCAACACTTTACCTTATCAATAAGGATAGACCAACACTTACCTTATAAATAAGTATAGACCAACACTTACGTTATAAATAAGGATAGACCAACACTTACCTTATCAATAAGGATAGACCAACACTTACCTTATAAATAAGGCTAGACCACCACTTACCTTATAAAAAAGGATATACCAACACTTACCTTATAAATAAGGATAGACCACCACCTACCTTATAAATAAGGATAGACCAACACTTTACCCTATAAATAAGGATATACCAACACTTTACCTTATAAATAAGGATAGACCAACTCTTTACCCTATAAATAAGGATAGACCAGCACTTACCTTATAAATAAGGATAGACCAACACTTTACCCTATAAATAAGGATAGACCAACACTTACCTTTTAAATAAGGATAGACCAACACTTACGTTATAAATATGGATAGACCAACACTTACCTTATAAATAAGGATGGACCAACACTTACCTTATAAATAAGGATAGACCTACACTTTACCCTATAAATAAGGATAGACCAACACTTACCTTTTAAATAAGGATAGACCAACACTTACGTTATAAATATGGATAGACCAACACTTACCTTATAAATAAGGATAGACTAACACTTTACCCTATAAATAAGGATAGACCAACACTTACCTTATACATAAGGATAGACCAACACTTTACCTTATCAATAAGGATAGACCAACACTTACCTTATAAATAGGGATAGACCAACACTTTACCCTATAAATAAGGATAGGCCAACACTTACCTTATAAATAAGGATAGACCAACGCTTACCTTATAAATCAGGATAGACCAACACTTACCTTATAAAAAAGGATATACCAACAATTACCTTATAAATAAGGATAGACCAACACTTACGTTATAAATATGGATAGACCAACACTTACCTTATAAATAAGGATGGACCAACACTTACCTTATAAATAAGGATAGACCTACACTTTACCCTATAAATAAGGATAGACCAACACTTACCTTATACATAAGGATAGACCAACACTTTACCTTATCAATAAGGATAGACCAACACTTACCTTATAAATAGGGATAGACCAACACTTTACCCTATAAATAAGGATATACCAACACTTTACCTTATAAATAAGGATAGACCAACACTTTACCCTATAAATAAAGATAGACCAACACTTTACCTTATAAATAAGGATAGAGCAACACTTACCTTATAAATAAGGATAGACCAACACTTACGTTATAAATAAGGATAGACCAACACTTACCTTATAAATCAGGATAGACCAACACTTACCTTATAAAAAAGGATATACCAACACTTATCTTATAAATAAGGATAGACCAACACTTACCTTATAAATAAGGATAGACCAACACTTACCTTATAAATAAGGATAGACCAACAATTTATCTTATCAATAAGGATAGACCAACACCTACCTTATAAATAAGGATAGACCAACACTTTACCTTATAAATAAGGATAGACCAACACTTACCTTATACATAAGGATAGACCAATAATGTATCTTCTAAATAAAAATAGACCAACACTTTACCTTATAAATAAGGATAGACCAACACTTTATCTTACATGGTGATAGACCAAGTACCTAAACCATTGATAACTAAGATTTGCTTTAAATATAAACACACCAACCATTGGCCACAAAAAGGATGGACCGACACTTCATAAGTAATCTATATACTTTGTAGGTGAAAACGAATCTTCAAACAATAATGTTCAGCTTAAATTAAGTCAACAACTTATCCAAATACTTACCAATTATTTATTTTAAACCAAAGCATATAAGAACACACGTTTTTTACCACTGACTCTGATTTACCTATTTTAACCCGGGGTAATAATACTGAAAGTATTGGTATGAATTACCGAAATAACAAGATAATTGACTATAGACCAACACTTACCCGAAGTAACCATAGGCCGACGGTAGTCCTAATAGTAAGACAATCACAGTCCGGTAGTAAAACGTCGGTATCCGCATGGTTCCTTAGACAGCTGCCGAGTCACGTTCATGACGCTGGGTCAGTGTAACCATGCCTTCGGACACTTTATAGTAGTAGTAATCCACGACAAACACTAAATAACAAATTCCAAGTTGAACAAATATATCCGATAAATTTTAAAAACACATGTTGCGTAGTTCGAACATATATGAACCCTTCCTGTTGTCCACATCAGAGTAATTCCATTCTTTGGAGTGTATCAGCATCGTCTGCTCGAGTCCCAGGACACATTGGAACAAAATGCTCACATAAATACCAAAAATAATCCAGGGATTAACACATCTGGAATAATGAAGATGAAAACAGTATAATAATGTGGTTATATTGGATAAAACTCCTTGTTGATTTTCATAAAGTAATACTTGTGTCACACAGCGTCTACAAGAAACATGTGGTGTTATATAGGTGTACTAGCTGGGCCCAGACTGTGCCGAGACCAACATTCATAACTCTCCTTCTATATGAACATACAGAAGTATATGTACAGATGAATCAAATTTGATCAAATCAGATACGAGGTTACATTTTCGGAGCAGATGGTTCGCGTGCCGATGACATTTGGGAAGGAGGGTAGCGACGCGCGGTGCGAGGTACTTAGTGCCGGTGCTTTCCCCACAGTGAGGAACACAGCCTCGACAGGTAGTATATACATGTACTGTCTGCTCTGACCAGTCACGTTATAGGTCAGATCTCACGAGAGCTGATAAAGGGACCGTCCTCTACACATACACGGGGGGTGTGGCATCGGCGTATACTACTGGGCACGGGCTAATTGTTTAGTATGATATTGGTTATACTTGTCTGTTTAAAACATACGTTTCATTATATAGACGAGTCTCGAAAATAAACCAATATCATATTGTGTTATATATCTAGTCTGGAAACTCGTTATTTACAGGTAGGCTGATCACTTTATGATTAAGTAGACTGGTCGACACAACTGATAGTAAATTTGAAGAAATGTTAATGATACATAAAATATACAAACAGAACATTACATTTATTATGTTTATCAATTTTCATATAGTTTCTTATGCAATTATATATATATATTATGTACGATTGTATTGGTTTGTCGACAATCCTATATATATATAGATAATATTTACCAGTCTCATTGATATAAGATTGGTCAACATTACATATGTAACCATACTGTTTCTGTTTGAGAGTTTGATTTTATATATATGTGACTTATCAACATGACTAGACATGGGAAGGTAGTTAACACTAGATCGTTATAATATAACCAAACAGGTGAGGTTAAGTTAAAGTATCAGTATAAAATATACCAACAGGCAAAGTTAAGATAAAGGATCAATATAAAATATACCAACAGGTAAAGTTAAGTTAAAGGATCGGTATCAAATGTACCAACAGGTAAAGTTAAGATAAAGTATCAGTATAAAATATACCAACAGGCAAAGTTAAATTAAAGGATGATCAGTATAAAATGTACCAGCAGGTTAAGTTAAGTTAAATGATCAGTTTAAAATGTACCAACAGGTAAAGTTAAGATAAAGTATCAGTATAAAATGTACCAACAGGTTAAGTTAAGATAAAGGATCAGTATAAAATATACCAACAGGTAAAGTTAAGATAAAGGATCAGTATAAATATACCAACAGGTAAAGTTAAGTTAAAGGATCAGTATAAAATGTACCAACAGGTAAAGTTAAGTTAAAGGATCAGTATAAAATGTACCAACAGGTAAAGTTAGAATAAAGGATGATCAGTATAAAATGTACCAGCAGGTAAAGTTAAGTTAAATGATCAGTATAAAATGTACCAGCAGGTAAAGTTAAGTTAAATGATCAATATAAAATGTACCAACAGGTAACGTTAAGTTAAAGGATCAGTATCAAATGTACCAACAGGTAAAGTTAAGTTAAAGTATCAGTATAAAATATACCAACAGGCAAAGTTAAGATAAAGGATCATTATAAAATTTACCAACACGTTAAGTTAAGTTAAAGGATCAGTATAATATGTACCAACAGGTAAAGTTAGGTTAAAGGATCAGTATGAAATATACCAACAAGTAAAGTTAAGTTACATGATCAACATAAAATATACCAACAGGTAAAGTTAAGTTAAATGATCAATATAAAATGTACCAACAGGTAACGTTAAGTTAAAGGATCAGTATAAAATGTACCAACAGGTAAAGTTAGAATAAAGGATGATCAGTATAAAATGTACCAGCAGGTAAAGTTAAGTTAAATGATCAAAATAAAATGTACCAACAGGTAACGTTAAGTTAAAGGATCAGTATAAAATGTACCAACAGGTAAAGTTAAAATAAAGGATGATCAGTATAAAATTTACCAGCAGGTAAAGTTAAGTTAAATGATCATTATAAAAGATACCAGCAGGGAAAGTTAAAATAAAGGATGATCAGTATAAAATTTACCAGCAGGTAAAGTTAAGTTAAATGCTCAAAATAAAATGTACCAACAGGTAAAGATAAAATAAAGGATGATCAGTATAAAATTTACCAGCAGGTAAAGTTAAGTTAAATGATCAGTTTAAAATGTACCAACAGGTAAAGTTAGGTTAAAGGATCAGTATGAAATATAGCAACAAGTAAAGTTAAGTTAAATGATCAACAAAAAATATACCGGCAGGTAAAGTTAGGTTAAATGATCAATATAAAATGGGACAACAGGTAAAGTTAAGTTAAATGCTCAAAATAAAATGTACCAACAGGTAAAGTTAAGTTAAATGATCAGTATGAAATATACCAACAAGTAAAGTTAAGTTAAATGATCAACAAAAAATATACCAGCAGGTAAAGTTAGGTTAAATGATCAATATAAAATATACTAACAGGTAAAGTTAAGATAAAGGATCAGTATAAATATTCCAACTGATAGAGTTAAGTTAAAGGATCGGTATAAAATGTACCAACAGGTAAAGTTAAAATAAAGGATGATCAGTATAAAATTTACCAGCAGGTAAAGTTAAGTTAAATGATCAGTATAAAATGTACCTGCAGGTTAAGTTAAATGATCAATATAAAATGTACCAACAAGTAAAGTTAAGTTAAACGATCAGTATAAAATGTACCAACAGGTATAGTTAAGTCAAAGTATCAGTATAAAATATACCAACAGGCAAAGTTAAGATAAAGGATCATTATAAAATATACCAACAGGTAAAGTTAAGTTAAAGGATCAGTATAAAATGTACCAACAGGTAAAGTTAAGTTAAAGGATCAGTATGAAATATACCAACAGGTCAAGTTAAGTTAAATGATCAGTATTAAATATACCAACAGGTAAAGTTAAGTTAAATGATCAATATAAAATATACCAACAGGTAAAGTTAAGTTAAATGATCAATATAAAATATACCAGCAGGTAAAGTTAAGTTAAATGATCAATATAACATATACCAACAGGTAAAGTTAAGTTAAATGATCAATATAAAATATACCAACAGGTAAAATTAAGTTAAATGATCAATATAAAATATACCAGCAGGTAAAGTTAAGTTAAATGATCAATATAAAATATACCAACAGGTAAAGTTAAGTTAAATGATCAATATAAAATATACCAACAGGTAAAGTTAAGATAAAGGATCAGTTTAAATATTCCAACTGGTAGAGTTAAGTTAAAGGATCAGTATAAAATGTACCAACAGGTAAAGTTAAAATAAAGGATGACCAGTATAAAATGTACCAGCAGGTAAAGTTAAGTTAAATGATCAGTATAAAATGTACCAGCAGGTAAAGTTAAGTTAAATGATCAATATAAAATGTACCAACAAGTAAAGTTAAGTTAAACGATCAGTATAAAATGTACCAACAGGTATAGTTAAGTCAAAGTATCAGTATAAAATATACCAACAGGCAAAGTTAAGATAAAGGATCATTATAAAATATACCAACAGGTAAAGTTAAGTTAAAGGATCAGTATAAAATGTACCAACAGGTAAAGTTAAGTTAAAGGATCAGTATGAAATATACCAACAGGTCAAGTTAAGTTAAATGATCAGTATAAAATATACCAACAGGTAAAGTTAAGTTAAATGATCAATATAAAATATACCAACAGGTAAAGTTAAGTTAAATGATCAATATAAAATATACCAGCAGGTAAAGTTAAGTTAAATGATCAATATAACATATACCAACAGGTAAAGTTAAGTTAAATGATCAATATAAAATATACCAACAGGTAAAGTTAAGTTAAATGATCAATATAAAATATACCAGCAGGTAAAGTTAAGTTAAATGATCAATATAAAATATACCAGCAGGTAAAGTTAAGTTAAATGATCAATATAAAATATACCAACAGGTAAAGTTAAGTTAAATGATCAATATAAAATATACCAACAGGTAAAGTTAAGTTAAATGATCAATATAAAATATACCAGCAGGTAAAGTTAAGTTAAATGATCAATATAACATATACCAACAGGTAAAGTTAAGTTAAATGATCAATATAAAATATACCAACAGGTAAAATTAAGTTAAATGATCAATATAAAATATACCAGCAGGTAAAGTTAAGTTAAATGATCAATATAAAATATACCAACAGGTAAAGTTAAGATAAAGGATCAGTTTAAATATTCCAACTGGTAGAGTTAAGTTAAAGGATCAGTATAAAATGTACCAACAGGTAAAGTTAAAATAAAGGATGATCAGTATAAAATGTACCAGCAGGTAAAGTTAAGTTAAATGATCAGTATAAAATGTACCAGCAGGTAAAGTTAAGTTAAATGATCAATATAAAATGTACCAACAAGTAAAGTTAAGTTAAACGATCAGTATAAAATGTACCAACAGGTATAGTTAAGTCAAAGTATCAGTATAAAATATACCAACAGGCAAAGTTAAGTTAAAGGATCATTATAGAATATACCAACAGGTAAAGTTAAGTTAAAGGATCAGTATAAAATATACCAACAGGTAAAGTTAAGATAAAGGATCAGTATAAATATTCCAACTGGTAGAGTTAAGTTAAAGGATATGTATTGAGTATACCAAAAAGTAAAGTAAATTTAAAGGAACAGTATTAAATATACCAACAGGTAAAGTTAAGTTAAAGGATCAGTATAAAATAAACCAACAGGTAAAATTAAGTTAAAGGATCGGTATTAAATATACAAAGACAAAGCATGTAAAATTAGGGCGAAATTAGTTATTGTAATGCTATATTAGAATAATACAGACAAAGAATATCCATTTGGACATAAAAACGATACAATAGTTCACTTTGTGAGAATAGAAATTATAAGATAATTCACGTTTATCAATGATATCGGTCTAATTTGCTTATGCATTATTTGACACTATTTTGACACTATTTGTATTATCTGTAGCGAAAAAGATACTTATAAGTTACGCTTTGTATGGATGTATAATCATAAAACCGTCTTTGGGTAAATCTAATCATGTATTAAATGTAAGGTAACATTTAACTGTTTATGTCAAGCTAAGTGTAGTGTTGTCTGTAGGTAAATCTTAACGTGTATTTAGTGTAAGGTAACATATAATCGTCTATGTCAGGCTAAGTGTAGTGTTGTATGTGTCATGCTAAGTGTTGTGTTGTATGTGTCATGCTTAGTGTAGTGTTGTATGGGTCTGGCTAAGTGTTGTGTTGTATGGGTCATGCTAAGTGTAGTGTTGTATGTGTCAGGCTAAGTGTAGTGTTGTATGTGTCATGCTAAGTGTTGTGTTGTATGGGTCATGCTAAGTGTAGTGTTGTCTA